GGGGGGGGGGGGGGGGGCGGAATCCACACGTCAGAATTTTATTATCATTTTCGGATTCAGCAGAAAATTTTACTAAACATATCGAAGATGTTTCACGTACATTGGTGAGATGTGAGGTTAATGAGTCAACTGTCAACCTGTCAACCATTATTAAATTTTATAAAATTATAATGGAGGCAACTTTAAACAAGAAAGTAATTCGTGTATTATGTACTAAATTTCTTTCTGTAATTATATGGTTTTAAAATTTTCCAATTCCAAAATTCCATAAATTTATTCTCTTAATCTTAATAGTAATTGATAAAAAAACTGTACGATTAAATTTATACGGGTGTTTCAGGATTAAGTCGACAAACTTTAAGGAGATATTCCTCATAAAAAAAAAATAAGATAAAAATTAAGAATAACTTTTTTTCCAGAGACGCTTCATTTTCGAAATATAGCACGTTAAAGATTTTTTTAAAAATTCGAATTTTTTAAATAACTTCTAAATGAAAAAGGCTATTTAAGCCAAATTTGGCATGACACATCTTCTTATAAGATACCATTTTTCCATAGAAGTAGAAGTCCCGCAAGCAACCAGTGGCGGAGTTATGGGGACTCAGACTCATTAAAAATTATAAAAAAAATGAATACGGCCCTACTGAAAATAAAAAATGATGCTGTTTTTAGATAGAACAGTTTGTTATTGACAAGAAGTGTACATTCACTTTTTTCCTAACTCTTATAGTTTCATGGCAAAATTGATTTTTCGAAAGGGTGCAGAAGCACGTCTGTCGATAAACTTTAGGAAGACGTTCCTCATAAAACCTAAAAAATATAGTACCTATTAAAATTGGTCTTAGTCTCGAGTATGTGTGAGACAAATAAGCCTTTTTGTCTCCCCTTCCCTTGGGTTTAACCAATAGTATTAAAATTATTTAGGTGATGCTTCGTTTTTGAGAGATAGGGTGTTTTTTTTTTAGAAAAAAAAAATGATGTTGATGAAAACAATAGAAATATTTAAGTACCTAACATCTAATGTGACTATGTCGTAATGCGACAACGTAACGACCCTTGCAATACTCCTAAACTTTTTCAGGCGGTTTGTAGTCACTTCATTTACTTCTGTTGTGTACTTTTAAATAAAATAAGATGGCAAACAATACATGAAAATTTATTTGTAAATTGAAACAACCAAAAATTACCAATTAATATTATACCTAGACAAAGTGGAAAGTGATGATCTCCTAAATAACTTTAATACTGTTGGTTAAACCCAAGGGAGACAAAAATGCTTATTTGACTCACACATACTCGAAACTAAGACCAATTTTAATAGGTACTATATTTTTTTAGGTTTTATGAGAAACGTCTTCCTAAAGTTGATCGATAGAATCCAGAAGCACCCTTTCGAAAAATCAATTTTGCCATGAAACTATAAGAGTTAGGAAAAAAGTGAATGTACACTTTTTGTCAATAACAAATTGTTCTATCTAAAAACAGCATCATTTTTTATTTTCTGTAGGGCCGTATTACTTTTTTTAATAATTTAATGAGTTTGAGTCCCCATAACTCCGCCACTGGTTGCTTGCGGAATTTCTACTTCTATGGAAAAATGGTATCTTATAAGAAGATGTGTTATGCCAAATTTGGCTTAAATAGCCTTCTTCAGTTAGAAGTTATTTAAAACATTCGAATTTTTTTTTAAATCTTTAACGCCCTATATTTCGAAAATGAAGCGTCTCTAGAAAAAAAATTATACTTGATTTTTTTCTTATTTTTTTATGAGGAATATCTCCTTAAAGTTTGTCGACTTAATCCTGAAACACCCTGTATATTGAAGTTTACATTTATAAATTCTTAAACAAAACGAAAAAAAAAAAAAGAATTTACTTACATATAGCGAAGGCTTTGTAGTCCGTAGAATGCTTTCTTGTGTAAATGGTTCAATTTAAAATTTCCTTTTAAAGTCCTGAAACATAAAAAATTATTGATTTGGTTGTATAAATAGGTACATAGAGACAAATAAAGTAGATGCTGCTATTTTTGAACATATTTATGTAACCAACAATCATTTTTAAATTAAGTAAAGAACATACGGAAAGTATGAATCATAAATAAATAAATTTAAGGCAATTAATTTATACAGATAATCTTATCTTGGTTAAAATAAGAGTAGTTTGCACCGGGCACGTTTCTATTCAAATTTACGTTAGTAAATGGAAGCAAAGATTACGTTAATAGTCGGGTTAAATTTATATTAGACTGGAACGGAGGTCGTTAATAGATATGGAGAACAAATTGCGTGATAATCAGAGGAAACTGCAGTCTGAATACAAAATATATGCGATTCTCTGCTTTGACCTTATTCTTCAAATAGAAAATTTTAATCTCATCAATGCGATGAAAAACACATATGTGACATTCTATCTTTAGGTATTTATTTTGTATTTTATTGGCATAGTTTATTTAGATATTTTGATGCAGTGTCACGGATTTAAAAATTAATTAACCAAACTCTTTCCAGTGAGAAGAGCAACGCTAAAATAACGTTTATTAATAACTTATCAAACTCCTGATTAATAACCGTTAAAAATGTCCCTTTAATTAACATTATTTTTAACTACAATTTCGGGTATTCTATGTATTTTCAGTACTGCATCAACTTACATTTAAAGCTTCTATATCCCTTGACTTTCTTTAACTGTAATAATTTTATTGTAAAACTTTTCATATTTTTATAACGTCTAATTGTAACGTTTAAGTAGCCTATAGTAGGTAATTTGAAAAAACTTAACGCAACTTAAAGCAACTTTGAAAACAGTTAAGTTTAATTAAGTCTGTTTATTTTGATACGTACAATGTATGGTAGTCTCATGAAACATTGGAACACCCTGTATTACTAATATTAGTTAATTAACACTGATCTTTTTAAAATTGGACCAAAAGTTGTAGCTTGTAGCGTTTTTTTAAAGAGACTTCATGTTAATGTATGTTTTCTGGACTATCTGCAGATACCGTAATATATATAACACATAATAACAACAAATTATAAAGGAAATGTCAGGTAACGCAAGGAAATTTGTGGAAGTTGTGGGTAAAAGGAAATTGATAGGTATTACTCAGGAAATGACAGTTTACAGGCAATAATGGGAAGCAGTGTATACCATTTTGATTAGCGGTTTCCCCTTCGGTTATTGCAAAAATCACTCTATTGTAATTTTCAGAACTACCTTTTTAAAATATATTTGACCGAACATTCGACAGTTTAAATTTTGTTTGTATTATAAATATTTACTTTATTATTATTTGCGTCTTCTTTAATATCTACAGTCAACAAGGATTCAAGCGTTCATACTGTGAAGACCTGCGAAAGGTCAGAAACTAGAGTATAAATGGTATTCGCGCCTTTCACTGGTTTTCAAAATATTTTTCTTTTTGGTGTCGGTATTTTGTTGTGTTTGCATACAATGAACGCGAAAATTGTCAACATTTACAAACAGCTCCATATCCATCTCAGGACGTATTTAAAACTGCATAGATCGTGAGTGTATACGTATACATTGCATATTGGTTATACGTGGATCACGGTGTGAATTCTTCCATGACACATGAGTGTAGAGTGAGTAAGGAAACTATCTGTACTCAAATTCTTGACCTTTCCTAGTATACACGACGTTAAAGCCCGTTCTATATTAAGGCTTACGGTGGAACACTTTCGAGTGAGATATGATTTTCGTTCAATAACTACTCCAAATATTATTTTAGATTGTCTTTTGCGTTAGATGATTTAGCTCCATAAAAAAAAGTTGGAGGTCCGAAAGACAAGACCATCGTATAGTCTTTCCGATCTCAATTGAATAACATTGAAATATTTGAAAAACTTGTTCCCATATTTTATATTTAGCTATACTCATATACAGGTCTGGTCGCGCAGTTGAAGAATGAATGCGCGAGCAAACGCGGCACAAACACAGTCGCACTGGGTGACGTGGCCATAAATTCAGTTGTCAATAAATGGCGTAGCAGTGCAGTGCAGCAATGCGGCATTTGGTGTGATTCAGGTAATTTTAATTTATTATAGGCACATTATATTAATCATTCATATTACAATTGCGAAAGGGAGAAATAAGAGAAATACTTTGTTTACTAATATTATTACATGAGATTTTTAGTCCAATTAACTAAGCCTTTAAATCGAAATTTTGTCAACTTGGCTGAATTTTTGATATGAGTTAGTTTAAGGTATATTATAACAATAANGGTATTTGTCCGCAGAGTAGTTGCTTCCCATGATATCATTAGTTATTAATAGCTAGTCTATGAAGTTGATTTTTAGCATACATGGATGTTGTCAAATAGCATATATCATTATCATCACCTGATGAGAATTTCGGAAACCATTTAGTCCCGATTTGGATTAGTTGTATATCTTGTAAAGTAGAAGTACAAAAGCTACAAGTAGTAAAATAATTTAAAAAGTAACTAAAGCACTTTGCCAAACTTTAATTTCGAAATCTACATTACAAATTAACAAAGAAAAATTGTTTATTTGTCTAGAAACGTTTTGTTTTCGATGTACCGGATGTTCAAAATTAATGTTATTATTATTATTAATGTTATAATTAAGTTATGTGACTTTTTTCAAGTTGCAGAAAACAGTTGGGAAAAGCAATATAAATAATGCATAGACAACATGATTGCTTGTATAATAATAATTTTTATTTATAGTTTAAGATAATTTGATATTTGACACATTTGCCAATAATTGCTTAGACATAGTCTAACATTTTAAAATTTTTCTTGAAAACGGTTCATTCTAACAACATAATGCATAAATTTTTGTAGTATATATATAAATGTAAGCACTTTATGTAAAATGTTTCGGAACGAAATTTCAAATATTTGGAGCTTAAAATAACCATTGAAAAAGATGTAACAAGTGAATTAAATTTTTGATATGTAACCGATAAGAATGGTTTAAAAAAATATCACTCTTTTTCTATAGTTGAGGACAAAGAACATTAGAAATGCTATGCCCTAATTAAATATAAAAAACAATCATTTCATTTTCATCGGAGGATTTACAATACCAAATGATATTAAACCATTAAAATAAAAGATCCATACAACCGACGTTTAAATATAGGTACTTCTAGAAAAAATGAATAATTCTGCTAGGTAAAATATGTGCTATTAGATTCAAGAAATAACGGTTCTTCAATGAAGCAAATAGTTTGTAGGCATTTACGATTTTTTTTTTGTTATTTTTGTGACTCCAGCCAAATACATGATGCTGTATCTACAGCTAGTCATTCTACAAATACAGTTGGGACCATTTCGATTCCAATATTAAGCAATTGTGCTCCTGATAAATCCTACCACATCAGGAATTATCGATTTAGGTTGAAGAATACTTGAATGAGGCACTGTTATCTCGAATAGAAAATCCCTTGCTATTGCGTACTAAAAGAAAAAAAGATTATCTGCGAAAGCAACTAGTTAATATATGTTTATATAGGGTGTAACTTTAAGCGGGGGGCAATTTTTTGTTTTGTTTGTTCCCCTAAACAGGAATCTGAAATTCTTTTTTTTTTAAACAAATAAATAGTCGAGTTACAATTAGTTTTTCAAAAAGCACTTTAATTCTTGTGCGCCTCCACTGGGAGGCGTAAACCGGGGCACCCGGAATTTGCGTATTAGTGCACTATCAACGTTGCCAGTTGTTTTTAACTCAACCTACATTGTGGGAAGTGACAATGAAAAATAATTTGGTACCACAGATTGCTTTTGTATAACTTAGCGACGTGTCATTTTAAAGTTACCAGGAGCAAAGAAGACGATATCAGATAGATTACGCGGACTTTGTGTGTCAGATTGATTCAACATTGTAGCAGACTCACCCTGTTATATTCATGTATTTGTACATTTGTGGATATGTACAATGTAAAAAAATGTGTGTTGATAACTAACAGTGCACGTAGTTAGTGGGATGATAGAGCTCATGGCGAACACCCACTCCATAAAATTAACGCTCCTAAAAGCAGTATCTCACGGCGAGTGGTGTAGAAATTTGTTCTTTAGTAAGCCATCCTTTAAATATGAGATTTGACATCAATACACAACCCGGTTCTCAATTATGCATGCGCTGTGGTTAAAACGATTCGTTATTTGAGGTTACACTAGCTTCTCCAGCGGCGGAATATGAAAATTATTAAAAAAAAGTTTATAAAAAATTTTCACGTGTATTCAAAATTCAAAGGAAGCCTCTACAAAAATCTGACACCCTGTATATATTAACAACATATGTTTGTCATTTATTTTAAACGAAACACATTATTTATTTGTCTTTGCTTCTTGTTTATGTGCTTTATCAAATTTATACCTTACATCCTGATGAAATATTGACTATAAATAAAGTTTTGGGTACAACATTTGAGTTTAAATTTCATTTGAATAGTCCCATAATATTTTTTTAGTGAAATATTTGCACTAATCACATTTCGATGTGATTAGGAACATCCCAAACGTGCCTCGCTAATATCAAACGGCGATTAGGTGGACAGATTATCCAAACAAGTCGTATTACATCAGATTGGCACATAAATCAAATAGTAATTAATGGTCAGATATAATTGTGTTTTAAATGCTTGGACGCTATTTTCCCAGTTCTTGTAGAATATATAAAATTATTTATATGATATTTCTCTGTTCACACTTCAGTGTTGTATATACAGGATGAAAAATGGAGTCAATTTCGTAACAAAAAAATGGTAAAGTTCTTATGGTTTCCGAGAAAAAAATTATTGAAGTTGTAGTACTTTCAACCATTACATCGCTGGACAACTGTAGTCTCTAGCATCATTCGCATAGTGCGCTTTACACAATGCGCACGGAGGGCCATGTGGCCCCAGCTACTCCGAATACTGAAATCCTAGTTTACAATAATTAGTATTAACGTTGTTGCCATAG